ATTATGACATTACAGCAATGGAATATTATTATGCTGTAAGAAAGGATAAAAGATATGATTTCAGAGAAACCTGGAAAGACATAAACTGATACAGAGTAAAGTAAGTAGAACCAGGAATAACAATTTCTATAATATCAAGATTACAAAGAATAGCATTTTTCAAAGACTTGAAAACTCTGATCAATTGATGATCATTAGATCAAGTACAATTCCAGAGAGATCCAGTGATGAAGTATATTTCCTATCCCATGTCAGAAATGTGATGCGCTAAGTAGGCAAAATAAGATTTTTTGGCCAATGGTGGATTTTTTTACTTAACTATATATACATATATATGTGTGTGTGTGTGTGTGTGTGTGTGTGTGTGTGTATTATATATATATTATATTATATTATATTTATTATAATATATATTTATATATTATATAATAAAGGATAAAGGATGGATAAAGATGGGATTCCTCAAAAAATGAGAAAAAAATGAATCACATGCAAGTATGACAGCTTTGTTAAATTTATTATATACTTTAAAATATATTATGTACATATATGTATTATATAGATATTAACTTTATTATATACCTAAAAAAATCAAACTCTAAATAATAGAGATCCAGTTTCATCTAACTATACTCTCTTTACCACAGCATATGTAAAAATGTTAATTTTATTTGGTATGCATTAAGTTTAGAATTTTTTTAAAAAAACAGAAAAAAAATCACCATGTGAATATTTCTTTCAAGGATGTTTTTTAGAAACACTAGTTATTGGATTCTAATTTCCAATCTATTTTGCTATTGTCTTCATTTTATATGATGATACAATTCTTCCCATTCATTTTATTGGTTAGGATTGTTAACTGTGTATTCCTCTGCATCCTGTTACAATACAATAAATATTTATGAAGTCTCTGTGACAGGCACTGTGCTAAGCTCTAAGGATACAAATAAGAAAAAGAAAGGTAGTTTCTGCATTCATGGAGCTTACACTCTAACAAGGGAACACAGTACACAAAAAGCAGGGGTAGGGGCAAGGGGAGTGAGGGTAGCCAGTATGGGGGCATGATGAGAAGCGAAAAACAAGCTGAGACATTCATGTGAAATGAAGAGATGGTTGGAAATACTGAGTCTCATATAAACAGAGGCTTTGGGAGATTTTTGCTTTGTTCTCCACGCCTCAGTCAGATGGATAGAGGCAATTGGGGGTACTGATGAGGTATGAATACCAAAGCTAAAGTAATGTTCATGATGGTGAGTTTCCTGGTGATTTTTATGGTGGGGGTGGGGGAAGAGGGGAGGGAGGGATGGGAAGAAATGATGATGTTTAAGTAGAAACTAAACACAGTAAATGGTGGAGAAAGAAATGTTCACTTTTACTTTTTCTTCTTCTTACTCTCAAATCTCCTCTTTACAAAAAAGATGAGAGATAAAAATAGTGTTCTCAACACTAGTAAATGATCTCTTTCTGCTCCAAAGTCCCTCTTCTCTTCCTCTCACCCAAATAAAATTAATAGGTTTTTACCCCTTCTTTCCTTCTAATTCTTTCTTCACAACTCAAACCTCCAAATCTGGAGTTTCTTTTGCTTATTATTTATCTCTCCCTTCTTTTAAATATTCCCCCATTCCAACATGTTTTCCTGCTAAATTTAGTGTTTTTCTACACTAAATTCTCCGTATACGTTTTAAACTTTCCTCTGTTCAGATGAAGGGAAAGTGAAGTTCATGTGATGCTTGTTTACCCCACCTCTTTCATATTTCTATTTTTTTCTTGTGCTCCTCAACCAATTATTTGAAATTCAGTTCTACACCTCTTCCCTCCTCTTTCTTCCCTGGTATATTATGTTTTTCTCCCCTTTTCTTAGTTATTCTTAGTGTACACACTTATCTTCTGCCTTTTGAAATATCACCCTCCAAGCTTTCTTTTTCTTCAAGGTGATAGCTTTCAATTCTTGTGTGACCCTAGCTGTGTTACTTGAACTCTTTCTATCTGCTTGTGGTACTTTTTCTTTAACCTGGAAGCTCTGAATTTTAGGCTATAGGACTCCTGTGAGTATTCACTTTAGTGTTTTTTTCAGGAGGACACAGGTGGTTATTTTTTGTTTTGTTTTGCTTTGGTTTACTTTTGCTCTCTGATTCTAATAGGTCTAAGAAGTTTTAATGTACAACCTCTTTAAAATGTGGTATCCTGGTTTTTTTGTCCTTTGTAGTTTTCAGGTAGTCTAGTAGTTTTTGGATGATCTTTCCTTGGCATGTTTTCTAGGTCAGTTCTTTTGATAGGAGCTACCTTAAACATTTTCTTCTATTTTTTTTCAATATTTTGATTGCTTCTGTCTCAAGGAATGACTGATTTATTTTCCTTCCATTCTAATTTTCAGGGAGTTTGCTACTTGGTTAAATTTTTGTACTTCCTGTAATAAGCTATTTATTTTCTTTCCATTTTTCTTCTAAGGCTTTCATTTCATTTGTAATTTCTTTTTAACTCTTTGTTTTACCTCTTCCTGGAAATTCATTAGATCCTGTGACCAAGTCATACCTTTATGAGGCTCTGCCTAGAGTCACTGTGAAGTTTCTCTTTTTTTCTAGGCCTGTATCTTTGCCATGCCCCTATAAGTAATACTTCTTTATCATCAATTTATTTTTCTATTTACTCATATTTCCAGCTTCACTTCATGAATTGAAACGTTTTTGTCAGGGCCAGGCTCTGACTGTTCTAGCATACTTGGATGGGATGGTGAGCACCTGTTTGTTCCAAAGGTGCATTCCCTTTTGCTGGTGTTTATTACACACAAAGTGCTAACAGGTAGCAAACTCATCTATATCCTCTGAGTACAGCTCCTTCAACACTTTCAGGTGCAGTTTAAGTCAGCTTACTGCAAACTTTCAGAGCCTCAAGGGCATGTGAAATGATTGCTGTCTTCTTGGTAGGATTTTTATTATTTTATTCACTTCAGTCCCCATGTCCAGGCTGAGACTTCTGCAGATATTGAATGGACCTGGAACTTCCTTGTTTGATAATTTTAGTCTTGGCTCCCTTTGTCTGGGGCTTGTTTCCCTGCCAGGAAGCTTCCTAGTTGAAGCATTATAAAGTTGTTGGAGCTGAAATGCCTGTAAGCATTGAATTTGCTTCAACCAGGTTACTCTGACTGGAAACACTTCTTAAGGTCAGCTGGCACTAAATGTCTAGATGTCCCCTTTTACCTTCAGTTGAGGTACTCACTGTAGTTTATATCCTTATTGCTTAAATGCTTTATCACATTACTTAATCCAGTGTTTAGTAGAGTGCCTGACACACAGTAGGAACTTAATAAATGTTTACTGAATCAATCTATCAGTTAATTAATTAATAACCATTATCTGATCTGGTGAGTCTTTTGTTTTATCTTTTCATTAAAGTAAAAGGCAAGTTCCTCAGATGATGTGGTATGAAAGGGCTAGAATATGCAACAAATAAAAAAATTTCAAAGAAGAAACGGAATAAAGCATATCATCAGCTTTGAAGGAAGCATAATATTTAAAATGACAAGAGGGACATATATTTAAATATGTACCTCTTCATTTCACTTAACTTCCCAGAGCCATAGGCACATCTCTAAAACATAAAACATAAGTTGCAGAAGATGCTGGACCTGCATTGGTAGAGGAAATTCCCTCAATGGAGTTCCTAATATCAGTGAAAATCACATGTCTGGTCCCTATCCCTAATATACATATATATATATATATACATACATATATATACATATACATATACAGACAGAAGTGCATAGACATAGACATAGACATGTACACACACATATATACACACATAAATATAAATGTGTCTATATACATAATATACATGCATATATATAGAGATACATATACAGATATGTGTATATATGTGTGTGTCTCCATATATTCAAGTATCTAGGCATATGTTGTAACATATAGCGTTTTAAGCAAATATGAGTATGTACTCTGTTGTTATTCAGTCATTTTTCAGTCGTGTCTGACACCTTGTGACCCCATTTGAGATTTTCTTGGCAAAGCCAGTGGAGTGGCTTGCCATTTACCTCTCTAGCTCATTTAACAGATGAGAAAATGGAGGCGAACAGGGTGAAGTTGCCTGCCCAGGGTCACACAGCTAGAAAGTGTCTCAGGCCAGATTTGAACGCAGGACAATGAGTCTTCCCCACCCCAGGCCCAGCACTCTATCCACTGTGTCACCTCATCACTCACGTACTCTGTTAATTAGTGCTAACTATCAGTTATATATCTTTCTTTAAACCATGAACTTTTTTTCCTGGAAGAGGAATTAACATGCCTAGGCCCATGTACGAATATACATATCACCAAGTGCATGGTTACACATACACTGTGGCATGAAGAAAGCAACAAAAGGAAATGGAGCTACTGCTGGCCACGGAAACAGAAGAACTTGTGGAAACTTCAATTCCTGCCCTTCCCAGCCATCTCTTTGGCAAGTTCTTTTGTTTTCCTAAAGCTCTATGTTCTCATTTGCAAAACAAGGGTGACAAAATTTGTAAGATCTGTCTTGTAATGAAGTTGTGCTCTATCCCATTGCCTGAAACCAGTAATTAAGTACTCACTTTTGACCTAACCAGTAGGGGTCAGAATCAGAGCAAAAACAATAGAAGGAAAGCATTCCATGGAAGGCCATTACACATACATTTTTTATTTAATCAACTAGGTTGTCAAACTTCAAAAATAATTCAATGTAACCAGGCCACCTATATACCTAAAGTCATACTTCACTTTAACAATAATTCATTTTGAGGGTAAGAAAAATATCAACTCTTTCTTTGGAAAGTGTACTAATACGATATCATAAAATGTTTTACAAATAAATAAAATTATAATGATTTAATTAAAATACATGATTTTAAAAATCCAGGCTTCCAGAATTCTATTCTAATAAGGATTAGAAGCAAATTCAGGTAACCTTGGCTGCTTATGTAGATTTTTTTTAAAGGGCTAAATCAAATTCTTAAAATCACTTACTTGTTACATCAGTTTTTATTTCAGCAAGCTTCAAAAGAGGTTCAACATGTTCATAATAGATGTGACTAGCTTCTCTTTTGTGACTTTGTGAGTTAATAAGTACTTTTAAGGATTTGGGCCGGTTTGAAAATTCTGAAAAAAAAATATAAAAACTTTGTATTTTAAAAGATAGTGCCTAAAAATTTTAATTTTTAACTTTTCAAAAACAAGATTTTAGCCAGAAAGTTATAAACAGGTTAAAAACTCTTCATTATCTGTATTTAAAATGAATTTTAACACTTTCTAGATTCGGGTTATTACATCAAGAAATTTACTTTTAATAAGCCAGCCTGATTAAGAAAAGAAACCCTTAGTTTATAAAAAAGTAGGATCATGGCATTCTGTTCATGCAGGAAAATGTGCATAAAAGCTGCTTTTTTAAATATAAAGCAAGTTTTATATATTTTCCCCAGTCATATATAACATAATAAACGTTCCTTCAACTTTAGTTTCTAGAGAAAAACAGCGAACCGTAACATATATAGTTATCCATTTCCTCTCCCTAAATAAATATGTTTATTACCTGAATTGGACACCTCAACAGCCCTGGGGCTGCTGAAGCCCTGACCTACTAATGAGTTCAGGGTTAAATAAAACAGGTAAGGATGAGTCAGTGCAAAAGCACCTATAGAAATACATGTTAGTAATGAAGAGAAAGGTTTTAGGTCACAGCTCAAACCTGAACAAAAAAAGAGGCCGAGGAAGAAAGAAATATTCTGTTGGGAATTAAATAGGAAACGCCTCTCAGCAGGGATTTGATGATAGTGCTACCTCACAGTTGGTGCTGCGATTTGATACTGCAATTTTCTGGGTCTGCAAGATGCTTATCACTTAGGACACAGCTGGAGCAGGTGTAAAGCAAATTTTCTGTTGTTAGGGTCAGGAGGAAAATGCAAGCTACAAAAAGTCAAAAACTATTTCAGCTTTAACACCACTGAATAAGAAACCTGTATTTCAATTTCATACTTGCCTCATTGGAAATAAGATCTATTTTTATGGATTTTAATAATACTATTACCAGAAAAGATTTAAGTTAAAATGTCTATCACACCAATGTCAGATTTTGAACAGTCCTAGAGTCTGCTCAGCCTCATCCTCATTTTCCTTTTCCAATGTGAAATTTTCCAATAGCAGAGATTCCCTTCAACTTCATAGAGATCCAAATGAAGAAGTGAGGGTGGTGAAATTATTTTCAAGATAAAAATTCTCAAAAAAAAGATAAAAATTCTCCAAATAAATAAAAACACTAACATTTTTGGATATTAAACCAATTGATTAAAAAATTTATCCTCAGGCACAAATTAACTGGAGCAGTCATTAAGAATGATTTTTTAATAAAAGACTCTTATAAATAAAGGTACAAAAACACAAAGCACCTAAAATGGCATATGATTAAAGCTAATGCATTACTTTTACAATGATAGTAGAGGATATCTCTGTATTTTTCAAAAATACTTATGATAAGAATATAAACACAGGTAATCTAAGTTTTTGGTGATAAACTGTACATTAAACACTGTATAGTACAATGGAAAGAAAAACAGATTTGAAGTCAGAGGGCCTTAGTTCATATTCTAGTCCTGCTACTCAAATTAATTCAACAGGCATTTGCAAGCATCTACTGTGAGCTAGGTGCTGAACAGGCCCTGCCCTCAAAGAGTTTATTTCCTATTCTGGATGGGGGAGAATTATATAGATAGATGAGGAGGAAGGAAAGAAGGAAGTGGGAGAGAGACAGAGAAGAGTGAGAGGAGAGAGACAAAGAGGCAGAGAGAGAGACAGAGAAAGAGACAGAGAGACAGAGACGAGGGACAGAGAAATATAGATATAGACAGACAGATATAATTAAATACAGACACAAAATAAAAACAGAGTAACTGACAAAGGAGGCCACAAATCTAATATGAAGGCCAGTTTGTTGACAACAGAATGGGAGTGATAGAATGAGAGTGAGGGTGGCATATGTGGACACCAGAGGGACATAGGTAGACAGTGGGCATGAGTGAGCATGAATTGGCCAGTCTACAACTCAGAATCAGGCTTCTAAGTGGACTGACAGACCAATAAGTAGAAGATGGTTGTAGTGGATGGTCATGCTATTTACAGTACCTATGTGATCATGGACAAGTCACCTAAACTCTCAGCCTTGGTTCCTTAGTTGTAAAATGAAGGCATTGAACTTGATGGTGCCATTTACCTCTCTAGTTCATTTAACAGGTGAGAAAATGGAGGCAAACAGGGTGAAGTTGCCTGCCCAGGGTCACACAGCTAGAAAGTGTCTCAGGCCAGATTTGAACGCAGGACAATGAGTCTTCCCCACCCCAGGCCCAGCACTCTATCCACTGTGTCCCCTCTGTCCATTTGGCAGGAGAAGGATGCAAATCATTTTTAAAACTAACGATAAAAAAAAATGTATATTATAGGATCAGTATGAATTTAGTTTAATCCCTCTAACATTCTAAATCTGTAATTATGTAGAGTGATCTTTTTTTGATATAGATGATGATTGCCTTGAAACCTAAATTCAATAGTTCCAAAATAATTAATTTATATTCACTCCACTATACTTAATAAGCCAGGAAAATTAATTTATTGGTTCTAGAAAGACTTGAAGCAAAAAGTTTGGAGGAGTGGCTTGGAGGTTGGAGGGAGGAAGATCTTTTTTTTTAAGTTAAACTTGAGTTAACCACAAAATTAAATTAACTCAAACTCTCCATTCTCCATCTTTCCTGGTAAGTCAAGGTTTTCTTATACATTGCTTGGGCATGAATCAAAAACGTCACTTTTATTAGATTTGCCATTTTCTATTTTTATTTTCTTCAAAAAGGTCCATTTAATGTAGAAATACTGGGTATAGAATTGATATGCTTTAATTAGCAATTAGTTGGTAATCTTCAGCACATAAAGACTTTTTGTATAAAGTAGAATTTTTAAAATTGTAAATGAAGCAAATTCCTCAAAAATAAATTTAAAATTTTCTTAAAAAAGTATTTTTCCAAAGTACAAATGATTTATCAATACCACCAAATTCTGGCAAATATACCAAAGAAGGGACAAAAGATCATATGCTTGTTACCAGTTAACTTACTTAGCCATAAAAGAACTTCAGAATGTCCCCTATGGATCATGAAATTTAGAGAAATTAATCTAGTCTCTCAAACAAATATATGCATATGAAGGCTAAAAAATTACAGTACTTGAAGATTTTTCTTTTAACTTATTTGAGGTTATCCAGGACTTTCAGCAAAATAGTTAAATAAGAGGTTGTATGAGTCCAGCTCCTCATCATTATCTGAAAAAACTAGAAATGCACCAAGTAAAAGAACCACAAAAAACTAAAATAAGGGGAAAGGAAGGAAATACCCATAGAAAAATTATCAGAGAGAATGAAGCAATGATCAAGCAATGAAACGTTCTTAATAGTGCTGTATGTCAAGCTCTGAGGATAAAAGAAAGAGATGAAACTATGTCCACCCACAAAGATGCTTATATTCTAATGGGGATGACAACAAGAACATATGTAAGTAAATATATGATATATACAAAATAAATATGAGATAGTTTGAGCAAAGAAGGCACTACCAGATGGGGAGATCAAAACAGGCTCCATTTGCAAGTGGTGCTTCAGCTGCCTCTTAAAAGAAGCCAGGGATTCCCACAGTTTGTGGTTTATGAGAAAGCACATTACAACAGGCATGGAAGCCAATTACTGTAAAGATATAGAGTGGGAGGATAGGTAAGACTGTATTCACAGAGTGCAAGGAGGACTGTAATGTATAATGATATTGTAACGGAAGAAAGGCCCAGGATGTGAAGAGTTTTAAATATGAAATAGAGAAATGCAAACGTCAAGAGTTTTCCTACACTAGCATCCTTATCATCTTTACCTTAGAAGGTAGACCTTGCTGATCTCTGTACCAATCCTATTTCAGAATAAGCAGCAAAGCCAGGGGAATGGGGTACAATAGCTCTGAGCCTTTTGAAGGGAAAAAAATTGGCAGTAAAACATTTTCAACAAGTATACCACAGAAAACTGGCAGAATGATGAAGACAGAGAAAATCTGAGAGTGGAAGAGACATGAACATTAGTTTGAAGAAAAGATCCATCTCAGTGAATAAACACTTTGCAACAAAGGAAATTGAGATAAATCTCCTGAAGAAGGCAAAGATCAAAAAACAAATTCTTCAATCCCTTTCAAATGACAACTATAAGAAACTCTTTAGTACTTCAAAACCCAATCAAAGAACTAAGGGCACATCAAAGAAATAAGGAGAGAAATGAAGGCTCTGAAGGAGAAAAAAATCACAACTTAAGTAGAAACTAAAAGAGCTAAAATTAAGAATTTTTCCATATGAATAGAGTATCCAAAATAGATAATGATAGAATTGAAATGCAAAAAATGCACAAACATAAAAATAACAGAATAAAATAAGATTTTGAAGAGTATATGAGAACTTTATAAGAATACTAAACTTGGAAAGAAGATGTAAAGAGATAGTCTAGTTATTAGATATATTCCAGAAAATAACATGAAAAAGAAAACCTGAGCATCATACTCCAAGAAATAATCTAGAAAAATTACCCAGAAATAATGGAAGCAGATAGCAAAATACAGAATAAGAGGATCCACAGAACACCAACAGAAAGACATCAAGTTTAACTCTTCAAGCAACATAGGAGTTAAATTTCTGAATTACCATATCAAATGACATATTATAAATGCAAAGAGAAAAAAAATCCTCAAACAGAAACAATCAGAAAGGAACAGGATTATTCCTGGGCTATAGAAAAAAAAGAAAAAAGTGGAATATGATATTCTGAAGAATAAATAAGACTGAGCTACATTTAAAAATAACGTGCCCTCCCAAACTGAGCATAAAAAAAATTATACAGTCATTGAAACAGAAAAATTTGGATTACTTCTTCAAAAATAACCACCAGGGTATTCAGTTGGCAAATTTACTAAATATCTAAATAATTTTTCAGAGACCAATGAAAGACTAAGAATTGAAATTTGTTTTCATGAGGGAAAGTCTTGAGCACATATGGGGAGTATTATATATATACATTCACACACTAACAGTGAGAAGAA